CCCCAAAACCCCAAAACCCCAAAACCCCAAAACCCCAGACCAACCAAAATAAATTGAAAACTTCCATTCCTGGATCATCAATTAAATTTAAAATGGGTCAGACCTGAAGCTATTGAGTAAACACCAAACAAAAAGAGGAATTTGAGTGCAATCTCATACCTAGAAAGGGCACGCAAGTGGTGACCACTGACACCTTCATCTCTACTGAAGCCAGCTCATCTCCTAGGAAGAAGAAAAGGGCCAGTAAAAAGAAGAAAAGAGTTAAGAAAAATAAGATGAGAAAGTCTAAGAGTACTGCTATAATGGCACCAAGCTTCGGCAGTAGCCAATTGAACCAGAAAATTGATGAAATTGCATTGGATAAAAGACTTTCGAGCCCCTTGCCCTTGCTAGTTCCTGATCCCGACTATATCGGGACTAACAGGCACTATATCTCGCTTTTTAAGGAGTCTCATTCAAACTGTTGTGAGCTTATGAACCTCATGGATGATGAAGACATGTGGAACCTCGTAAAAGATAAGAACAATATCCAACTATTCAAAATCATAAGAAAGCTAAAACCCTCAGAATGATTCATTAAGCGTATTGTTGAAATAGACGGTGACAAGGATGAAGTCATCGAGTGCTTCAGAGACGTAGACTTCCAGCTATCTATAAACAGTAAACTTAAGACACTGGATCTGATCGACCAAATTACTGAGGAAGCCAGCATCACTCATCAGATCTCAAAGGGGTTCTTCCCAGTAAATGGGAGAGAATTCTACACATTTTCGAACAGATATGACCTTAATCCAAGGATCTCGGTCATTTGTAACCATAATGTTGAGAGTGAAGATTTTCCGAAACTAAAGAAAGTTACCAGAGGCACTATTAGTACCATCTTCGTCTTCGAAAAGCTACAAAAATCCTCTAACTCCACTGTAGCTCCAATCAGGACGAGGATCACCAACGTGCTGAATGTAGATCTGAAGGGTAAAATCCCTGCCTTCATCTCAGGAATTATGGCGAACACCATGCACAGTAGTTTTGCCTTGATGAAGAAAAAGATGGAGCAAAGGTTGGCTGGGCAGAACTAGGACAAACAGAAATAAAATATAGTAAGGAATTTCACATTTAAAATCTTTTCAAATTCAGGTGAAGATTAGGGGTTTTGGGGTTTTGGGGTTTTGGGGTTTTGGGGTTTTGGGGTTTTGGGG